AGCCCCCCACACGACTTTTGGCCTGTCGAGATGTATACGGTTTGTTGACGCGACACTCGTTGTCATTTGATCACTCAGGGGCGCCAGAATCTGGATAACGCTGATAGCAGAGGCGTTCTAGCAAAAACGTAGCCTTCAGATGTCGATTTCGACCAGAAATCAACAGGCATTTGTTTCGTGACAAGAGAAAAGTTCATCCGACCCGGATCAAGCAAGGAAGATGAGACGCACGGGTTGCACCCACCCGCATCTGTGGGGGTTTTCGAGCCCACAATCGCACATCGAAAATCTACATCCATATGATTCTTGAGGCTGGTATGTCGGCGATGATTACTACTCCTATAACGCCTCCTCGCGAGCTTTTCCCGTTCCGTATTCGGCTATGTCATCGACTCCGATGCGTTAGAAAGTAGTGCATCATATGGGCACCACAAGCAGAAACTTTTCAACAATTTCACCTACACCGGAAGAATTCGCGGCTTGTTCCTACGAGAAACTCTTGAGCACCTGTGTCGACCGAAAAACGCGACTCAAAGAGATGCGAAATTTATTTCCGGCCACAAACTGAGCAGACTATTGTCGTCTGCCTCACTATACAATATCCGTCATGTGGTAGTCGGTGTGATGTCGGTCATGGTAGCGTCCGGCGCACATTCCCCTGCTCAGTGTCTACAAGTCTTTGACTCCGCTAATTCGACGCCTTACACCTCTACTCAATGACAGTAATAAAACACGGCATGTAATAGGTGCACTACAGAAGATCTCAACGCTCGGTAAGGTAGGTACGCGAATACCTACGGCGGTCAAGTCCGTCAACGGGCCGAACCGCGCATGATGGAAGCCAGCGTAGCAAGAATGGTACCCAGGACGCTCATGTACGAAAGCGCTGTGGAGTCTCCCGGCCTTGACTTTGAGCGAGCGAGCAAATGGCCGGCAACAAGCGGTGACGATGAGGGTCTGGATCCGCGTTGCCTTCGGCATAGTGCAGATGTTGAGTGGGTTGCAATGATCCTGGAGGAGAATCGTGTTTGCAAAGGATCGATGATGTCGACTGTGCTTAGTCGGGTGATAAGGTTTGGGCCTGGCGTGTGGGTATTTGACTACGTGGGCTTGCTGCGCTTGAATAGCAAGCCTAGAACAAGACCAAAGTTGAACAGCAGGCTCTATATTATCTGATTCAGCAATGCTCAGTAGGTTGAAGTCAATCAGAATGCCATCACGCAGCATGAAGAGGTCTACGAACTCCTCTGTACTGGACATACTACTGTTGCTAGTGGGCTATTCGGTGTATTGTTCGGGTAGGACGCCCATCTTCTGGTAACATAACCAAGACGAAGAAACCGTCACTTGCAGTGCATGGTACAGCTGTGATGGAAAGACACATCCCCCATCGCATCTGTTCCGTTTCCAATACACCACGATATCGCGATATCTAGGACGCGTACGATACGTGTTCGGGCCTCACGCGGCCCATTTCGCAGCCCCACATCCGCTCAAGAATCATCATCTCCTCGAACTTCTCCAGCCAAGACTGCACGCTCTGAATATGCGAGTGTAATATTGCGCACTTTCTAATCACTATCATGTGATGCCCCGTACTCGTCCAGCTGATGATGGGGAGCAAGACGCGGACATGTGAAAGCGTGAGGTGCACGGTGCGCAATCCCCACACATGACCAACTGCCGTCGGGACCGAGGTAACTCGTCATCATCAACAGCTCGGCTGCTTTCATGAGACACGACCGGGTCAGATCGCGAACGACCTTACTTTTGAGCCATCCTCCACGCATCCAGCCACCTATCCTCTCATCCTCACACTTTCCAAATCTTGCACCTTTCTACCGTGGGATCTTTGCTGATACCCATTTGACTTTACAAATACCTTTGTTGCTTGCTTGCATAGGAGATTCCTCAAGCGCAACTTCTTTCCGCGAAAGAACGAAGGGGTAGCCTCTTCCAACAGCACAGAGAACACATCATGGCTGCGCAGGAGCTGCGATATGATGGCCAGACCGTTGTGGTCACGGGCGCTGGTGGTGGTCTCGGTCGCGAGTATGCTGTCTTCTACGGCAGTCGCGGCGCGAACGTCGTTGTGAACGACTTGGGCGGCAGCTTCAAGGGCGAGGGCGCGGGCTCAGCGGTATGTCTCTTCAGCTCTAGTCCTTCATTCACTGCTAATTCACCCGACAGGCCGCAGACAAGGTCGTTGACACCATCCGCTCCGCTGGCGGTAAGGCGGTCGCCAACTACGATTCGGTCGAGAACGGAGAGTCCATCATCAAGACTGCTATCGACACTTTCGGTCGCATTGATATCCTCATCAACAACGCTGGTATCTTGCGCGATGTCAGCTTCAAGAACATGAAGCAGGCAGACTGGGATCTGATCTACCGGGTCCACGTCCTTGGAGCATACAAGTGCGCGCATGCCGCGTGGCCATACTTCAGGAAACAGAAGTACGGAAGGGTGATCAGCACTGCGTCTGCTGCCGGTCTGTTCGGATCTTTCGGACAGACAAACTACTCTGGTATGCACATGCGGTTTGCGAAGAGATGAATGTCTGCTAACTTCCACAGCTGCCAAGCTCGCTCTTGTCGGTTTCACCGAGACACTCGCAAAGGAGGGCTTGAAGTACAACATCCTCTGCAACGTCGTCGCCCCGATCGCCGCCAGCCGAATGACCGAAACCGTCATGCCTCCGGATGTTTTGGAGAAGATGAAGCCTGAGTGGATTGTCCCGCTCGTCGCTGTCCTTACACACAAGTCATCCACCGAGACTGGCGCTATCTTCGAGGCGGGCGCGGGTCACGTCGCCAAGCTACGATGGGAGCGAGCATCTGGTGCTCTGTTCAAGGCCGACGAGACCCTCACACCCGAAGCTGTTCCAGCCAAGTGGAAGGACATTGTCGATTTCTCCAAGGCCGAACACCCACAAGGCCCGGCGAACGCGCTTGAGCTCCTCGAGCATGCCAACCAGCTGCCACCCAACCCCAAGGGCGAGCCCCTTGACTTCAAGGGCAAGGTCGCTCTTGTCACTGGTGGAGGTGCTGGTCTAGGTCGCATCTACTGCTTGCAGTTGGCGAAGCGTGGTGCCAAGGTCGTCGTGAACGATCTCGTGAACCCCGACAACACCGTCCAGGAGATCCAGAAGCTTGGTGGAGAGGCTGTTGGCAACAAGGGCGATGTTCAGGACGGTGAGTCTGTCGTCAAGACCGCCATTGAGACGTATGGCCGCATCGACATCCTGATCAACAACGCGGGTATCTTGCGCGACAAGGCGTTTGCCAACATGACCGACGAGCAGTGGGACATCATCCACAAGGTTCACCTGTTCGGTACCTACTCCTGCACCAAGGCCGCCTGGCCTTACATGCTCAAGCAGAAGTACGGCCGCATCCTCAACACCACCTCTACCAGCGGTATCTACGGCAACTTCGGCCAGGCAAACTACGCCTCAGCCAAGTGCGGTATCCTCGGTTTCTCCAAGTCCCTCGCTCTTGAGGGCAAGAAGAACAACATCTTCGTCAACACCGTTGCTCCCAACGCCGGCACTCAGATGACCCGCAGCATCTTCCCTGAGGAGGTCGTTCAGGCCCTCAAGCCCGACTACAACGCTCCTCTCGTCATTCTCCTCGTTTCCGACAAGGCTCCCGAGCCAACAGGTGGTCTATACGAGATGGGCTCTGGTTGGTTTGCGGCGACCAGGTGGCAACGCTCTGGCGGACACGGCTTCCCCGTGGACGTCAAGCTCACTCCCGAGGCTGTCCTCTCCCAATGGGAACGCATCACCAACTTCGACGATGGCCGTGCCGACCACCCCTTCGACAACGCTAGCGGTCTCAAGTCTATCATGGCGAACATGGAGAACACGAGCAAGAAGAGCAAGAAGGAGAAGAAGCCTACTAAGAGCAACGAGGAGGTCCTCGAGGCTCAGAAGAAGGCCTTGGCTGCTAAGGCTGAAGGCACACCCTTCGAGTACACCGAGAGGGATGTCATTCTTTACAGTAAGTCAGCCTCATTCCGTATGAGTAACTACAACTAACACCATCTGCAGACCTGGGAATCGGCGCCAAGCGCACCGACCTGCCCTTCGTCTACGAAGGCGACGAGAACTTCCAAGTCATCCCCACCTTCGGTGTCGTCCCCCCCTTCAACGCCGAACCCCCCTTCTCCTTCGACGAAATCGTCCCCAACTTCGACCCGCGCATGCTCCTCCACGGCGAGCAATTCCTCGAAATCCGAAAGTTCCCCATCCCCACCGAAGCCAAGCTCGTCGCCGTACCCAAGCTAGTCGAGGTCGTAGACAAGGGCGCCGCAGGGCTCGTCGTATACGGAAGCGTAACCAAGGACGCGAAGACAGGCGAGGAGATCTTCTACAACGAAAGCACAGTCTTCATCCGCGGCTCTGGCAACTTCGGCGGTCAGAAGAAGGGTGCTGACCGCGGCGCCGCAACAAAGATCCACAAGGCACCGGAACGCGCACCCGACACCGTCGTCGAGGAACGCACAACCGAGGAGCAAGCTGCTATCTACCGTCTCTCCGGCGACCTCAACCCCCTACACATCGACCCCCAGTTCAGCAAAGCTGGCGGCTTCCCCACACCCATTCTGCACGGCCTGTGCAGCTTCGGTATTTCCGGTAAACATGTTCTGCAGACGTATGGTCCGTTTAAGAACATCAAGGTTAGGTTTGCGGGTGTTGTGCTGCCGGGTCAGACTCTCATTACCGAGATGTGGAAGATGGGTAATACCGTGCTGTTCCAGACTAAGGTTAAGGAGACGGGTAAGCTGGCTATTAGTGGGGCTGGTGCGGAGTTGATGGGTGGTGGGAGTAAGTTGTAGATGTGAGGGAGTGTAAGAGAGGGAGGTTTATAGGTATTGATGGGTGTTGATGCCTTGTTGTATATATGTAGTGTTTATGTTATAAGTTCATCTTCCCAAGTGTGTGTTCAATTTATAAGCCTCAACCATGACCTCCGCTTTTGTTCCACACAAGGCCCTTATTCGTTCCACAGTAGATGTTCTTCCCACGCCGGCCGGCGTATTTTGGGAGGAGGAGGAGGCTTGAAGTCACTCGGTTCAAGATGGGTCCCGTAAAAAGGGTCTCCCCGACCCAAATGCGGAAGAGCATTAATGAAACTGTTCATGTTGAAGTTGCTGTTATCGCGTAGATTGTCTTTCTCGGGCTCGACATCATCATTAGGATCGTACTCCGACTCGTCGGAATGTTCTACATCCGCTACGTTGCTAGCTTGATGGTAGACCTTGTGTCGTGAGCGAAGCCGGCTGTCCTGTCTGGATTGAAGAGTCGTGTTAGTGTGTGTGTGTGTGTGTGTGTGTGTGTGGGTGGGTGGGTGTGTG